TGAATCAGTGCTCTTAATAAGGAACAGGTCTGTCTTCAGGAATTCATGCTGATAATTCATGTAACAACTCTAGTTTTTTAAATCTCTAGCAAAAGATGCCACAGACATTTGAAGATAAATATAAGATTTGTTGTCATCTGTGTTTAACTCAACTTACTTATCTTGCTGTTTCTTCCTAGCCCATAACCGAAGAGTTACTCAAACAACAAAAGTTGAATTCAAATGAGACCATTATAACTCATCAGTCTGTACCTGATTCCCGCTTGGCAGAATTCCAGGAAAAAATCCAGCAAACAGAAGCCACCAACAAGGTATGATCAGTACTATACCCTTGGAGATGACAGGGTTTTCCTGAGTATGTGACTGGCTCTAGCCTGAGTGTTAACCTGCGTAGGACGTGGGAGATGAATACTGTGTACTCCTGGTGCTCTAGGGAATATTTCATTTAAAAGTATAGGTCTTCCCTTTATTGCTCATCAAGATTCTAGCTTACTCTGCACAGATCATAATTTCTAGTGCTTTTCAGGTATGCGATTAAAACTTGCTTGCAGTCTTTAACTGTAAGAGACACTGAGACAGGAGGTTTGTTTTTTATTTCAACCTACCTTGTTGCCCCTTGATAGCTCATGGATTTTAGTATCTGTTTAGATGAAAGTTGCCACAGTTTGGGATGCTGAACTTCTGGCCTGGTGTCCCCTTGTAGTGTCCTATCCTACACTAGATAGCAGAAACTCCTCGATCTTTGTGTAAGGGATCCTCAGTGACCCATATGGACAAGTGCCTAGTATGGCTGCCATCATAGAGAAAGCCCAGTGCGTGAGAATTGAGGCAATTGAGTATTGAAGGAAGTATTTCATTTTTATGGCTAGTTTTTCTTGCTAATTTACTTAGGACTTTAATGATTACTATATGTGGGAAAAAAAATAACAAGATAATATTCCCTAAGGAATCCTTTAAACCCTAGATTTGAAGAAAACCCTAGATTTGAAGAAAGACTTTATGGTTGCATTTGAGGTTAAAAGGAATCATTGACCTAAAAAACTGCTTTTCTTTGCTGAATTCAGATTCTTCAAGAGAAACTTAATGAAATGAGCTGTGAACTGAAGTTTGCTCAGGAGTCATCTCAGAAGCAAGATGGTACAATTCAGAGCCTCAAGGAAACCCTGAAAAGCAGGGAAAGTGAGGTAAAATATTTGGCCATCAAGGACTTGTGAGGAAATAATTGGTCCCATCAAAGTAGACGAGTATTTTATGTTTTATAAAAATGGATATTATCAGACTAACAAATCTTAGCCTGGAGCAATTGTAGCTTAATCTAAATTGGTATTTCGGAATAGTCCTGTTAGTAAAATCTGTACAAGTGAGATAATGGAATTTGTATTTAGTTTGCTAACATGTTTGGTATTCCCTCTCTCATTTTCAGACTGAGGAGTTGTACCAGGTGATTGAAGGTCAAAATGACACAATGGCAAAGCTTCGAGAAATGCTGCACCAAAGCCAGCTTGGACAACTTCATGTGCGTGGGGGTCACATAGGATAGGAGGAGAGTCCAGTTGGAGATATGCCATTCTTGGTTGTAGTCTTGATTTTGTCTTCACAGGTGCTCAGTGCTTGCTCTCCCGGTTATGATGATTTCTACTCTCTTTTCAGAGCTCAGAGGGTGCTTCTCCAGCTCAGCAACAGGTGGCTGTGCTTGATCTTCAGAGTGCTTTATTCTGTAGCCAGCTTGAGATACAGAAGCTCCAGAGGGTGGTACGGCAGAAAGAACGCCAACTGGCTGATGCCAAACGGTGTGTGCAATTTGTAGAGGCTGCAGCACGTGAGACAGAACAGCAGAAAGAGGCTTCTTGGAAACATAACCAGGTAAATCATTAACCATTTTGTAGCCCTAAATGCTGACTTTGCCCTGGTAATAACTTTCCAGCACTACAGTTTGTGTTGAACCCTTGAGTCATTTGCTTAATCATAGTAATTCAGTTCAACACTTGTTGCCCTTGTACCATGTGCCAGCTACAGTAGGCCCCCCCTTATCCACAGTTTCACTTTCTGTGGTTTCAGTTACGTGTGGTCAACCATGGTCTGAAAATATTAAGGTATTTTTGAGAGAGAGAGACCACATTTGTATAACTTTTATTATAGTATATTGTTGCAATTCTTCTATTTTATTATTATCATTCTTAATCTTTTAGTGTGCCTAATTTATAAATTAACTTTATCATAGCTATGTGTGTATAGGAAAAAACATGGTATTATACAGGGTTCAATACTATCCAAGGTTTCAAACATCCACTGGGGTTTT